AACTAAAAAAGATAGAGTCTTTACCAAAAAAGATTCCACCTTTATCACCAAACGAAGCCCTAGGCGAGCCTCCAAAACGACCTATTCCTCCAAATAGTCCAAGCGTAGTCCGAGCTCTGATACCACTTGTTGAGCGCTGTGGAAGCCAAACAACCAAACTAACGTGCTACGAAAAATCAAATCAAACGAACGTCGAGAGAAGGCCAAATAAACCAAGTCAATGCCACAAACACAAACAACCAATTTTAACGTGGTTCGGCAAATTGCCTATGTCCACGGGGCAAGAAAGAGATAGAGTTTTTCACTAATAGAGAAGAAGAGTACAAACTGAGATTACAAATCACTCAAACTTACCAATTAATCTCACCAACAAATCTCTAATTCTCTCCAAACAAAACCCTAACTAATAGCTCAGAAAATACCTCTTTTATGTGCTCCAAATATCCCCCAATTTTCTTCTCAATTCTCTCTTCTAATTCTTCCATATATATAGAAATCCTAAAATCATAAACATACTAGAAATTCTAAAACAAAAAACAAAACAGATTAGGAATCCTAATAACCTATTATCAAAACAGATATGGAATCATGTTACCAAAATAGATTAGGAATCCCAATAACATGTTACCAAAATAAATTAGGAAACATATTAGGAACCTGCTATCCAACATTAAGAACCCAAATGTTATTACAAAATATCAGATAAAGCAGGGAGAATTTGAGATAATATTTTTGAGTAATTTGTATAAATAATTTATTTATTTTTCAAATAGCAAGGAATAATTTTGTTAGAAAAAAGTTTTTAATTGTACATACATCTATATGTTACATGTTTTTATGGTGTCTTGTGTGAGAAACATGGGTGAGCCGAAAACCCCTTTTTATAAAAATTAGTAAAGACATGATATCAAATCAATAAATAATTAATAAATTAATAAATTCATCAATGATAGTTTAAGAAAAAGACTAATACATTAACTTTAAATATAATTTGACACAAGTATAATTTTGCATATATATTTTTGGTGTTAATTTTAGAGAACTCCCTCATCTCCGGTGAATGTCTTAGAAAATCCCTCTCAATTATTTTAATTTAAGAAAACCATCCTAAATTCTAGGCATATTATAAATAATCCCACTCAACTTTGAAAATCAAAGTAAACCCCAACTATGAGGTGTCTCACAAAAAACTCCCTAATCTTGCACACTTTTTTTGTCAATCCCCCTGACGTCATTTTAAAATAACTAAAATATCCTTTTGAAAAACAATCCATTCAATTACAAAGAAACCCCAACCGATAAAAAAGTACTATGTTTAATTTACATTGTTTTTTTGCCTTCTTTCTCTTTTGTCTCACTTATCCTGAAAAAACTAGAGTAATTTTTATATAACCGAGTGATATTTTGGTATTTTCTTAGTCACCCACTTGTCATGTGACATGCTAGACCTAACAATATATGTTACCTTTCAGGATGTAAAGTGAGAAAATTTCATGGGAATTTCTCAAATTTTCAAACTTGCGGTGGTTCATCTACAATAAGCTCAAACTTGAGGGGCTTTCTCAATTTAAAAGAGTTAAGGGTTTTTTTTAGATACACCACATATTTGAGAAGGTTAAGTGAGAAAAGTTCAAGGGGTTATCTCAAATTTTTATAGTTGAAGGGGGTTGTCTACAATATGCTCAAATTTGAGAAGGTTTCTCAAATTGAAATAGTTGAGGACGTTTTCCAAAATTAATCCATGATTTTATATAGAGAGGTTCTTTACATGATTTTCTTATTTAATTTATATATTAAAATATATAATTATGAGATTTTAAATTATATTTAAATATATTTAAATATATAATATAATAAGGAGTAAGGAATATTTGATTATTAGAGTTTTCTAATTATGGATAGTCTTAATTTTAATGAGAATTCTTATATGAATGTAACATTAGATGTCCACATATCATCTTTTAATAGGATAAAGATGCATGTGGATATGACACAAATTAAATTTTTGTATTTTTATAACATGATACATGTTAATTTTTTTTTGCTTTTAGAATTTCCACTAATTTATCTTTATATATAGAGGGATATAGTATCAACATATTGGATATCATCATTAGTAGTCTAGTTCAAACCATTAATTTCCCTTTTACTAATCTTTTCTCAGCAAAAGAATACATATAGAAACACATATTTTTAATTTGAATATTTTCTAACAAAGTTATGATCACAAATATAATCTCATCTCACAAACAGATATTTAGAGTGCATTTAATAGCTTGCAACAATGTAACTGTTACTTGCATGTAACTGAAACATTGTAACTATTCTTGCATGAAACTGAAGTTAAAATTGTTTAGTTAAAATTTTAAAATTTACAACTTATAGTTGCTGTAATACTGCATGTAATTTTACACGCGCAAGTAATTTTTTTAAGTTTAATAAATTGATAAAATCGCTAAACTTTTTACACTTTTAAAATACTTTTGAAAAAATTAGTGGTTTTTATTTTTAATCAATCAAATCTTTCAAATTTTCATATAAATAATTTTCATAATGTAATATTATTTTAAAAAATTTATTGTAAATATATATTATTTTTGTAAAGATTACTTTTTGGTAAAAAAATATTTTTTTATAATTTTTGAAATATTTCTTAGAAAATTATTATTGAAATATTTTTTAAAATAGTATTTTAACAAAAATAATATTATTCAAGGGGAAAAACTCTTTGGAAAAAAATTTCAAAAAATAAATTTTCTTAAAAATAAATGTTTTCAAAAATATAATATCTTTCTAAAAAGTAATATTTTTAAAATATTTTTAGAAATATTATTTTTAAAATTAATGCTCCTAAAAAAATTTAACATTATATTTTCAAAATATTAGTTCCCAAAAATTTATTGTAATAATATTAAAATATTTCTTTTAAAAAATAATTATCTTATAATTTTTTTTCAAAATATTATATTTTTTGAAAAAAATGACTTTTTAGAAAATATTTTAAAATAAATTTATTTTTAGAAGGTTTTTAAAGAAATTATAATAAGAATTTTTAGAAATTATTTTAAATCTTTAATGATGTTCTTAGATTTTCTTTAAATATTATTTTGATTTTTTATAAATTTGGTGTAGTTGCAATTAAGCTTGCAACTTTGACTTACGGCCATTTTAGACATATGCCATATGTTGCAACTAAGGTGTTTTGCAACTGTGATTGCACCTACAGCTGTGTGCAACGAAATAAATAATTGCAACTAGTCAAAATTAACCTAGTTGCATGCAATTGGAGTTCCAACCACTCCACTTGTAAGCTATCAAACACCCCTAAAATCTTTTTAGTGTCTCAATAATAAACAAGAATTTCAATAAATAATTCTTTTAAAATGAATTCTCTAGTCCATCAAATTATTGGCAGTGTGAAATATCCTCAATAAAATACATCATCTTTTTGATTCAATACGCAAAATATAAGTACGAATAAAATGACCAACTCCCCCTTAAAGTATTAGTGAACTCTCAAGTTTCCTCGTAAGGTATCAATTTATCTAATTCCTCTTAGACTACGTTTATGAGTCCGATGTAGGCGCATATGTGAGTCCGTCGTCAAAATTTTGACAGACAGATGAGTTTTCATCGGTCCGTCTCTTTTCCACTCAAACCAAAAAAGTTTCCAATTACTTCTGAAACTTTTTATCCTTTATCCTTTTTTTTTGGAATTGAAAATTATTATTTTTAATTACAAAAATAAGATTTAATGCAAAAAAGAATTCCACATCATCAATTTATTGAATACTTGACTATGGGTTAAAGACTACACTGACCCATACACATAACATAAAAGAGAAAGTTGAAACTTCACCAATACTTAAGAAAAGAAAATTTAGCCATTCTCTTCTATTAGTATCATAAAAATCAGGCAACAATTTTTAAATGAAAGCCTTCATCAAGCTATAGTAGGAAAAGTGGTGTTTCTCCAAATCTAGAAGTGATTGCTTCTGTTTGTAACTCTATATATGATTGTTTAGGCATTAGGTTAAAATTAGATGAGAATTAGTTGAGTCTCATTAAGAGTGGTCCCAATTATATTTGGGAAGTCAATATTTAGGCTGTAGTCATGTCATTGCTTTATTTCTTTCCTTTTTAGGCTATCTTTATCTTTTTTTTAAGGGCTCATGAAATATCCAACCTTTTCTTGGAGCATCCCATTATTTGAATTTAAGTGGTCCAAAATCCAAATGCAATTTCTATGTTTTTTATTATATCATAATATTTTTAGAGGATATAATTATAGCAGTTAATCCTCAACATAACTGCAAAGTTATAAATTTTTATGAAGAATTCATAGACAATATGATATACCTCGACATTGACCTATGAACAATTAAATGAATTTGGAGTATAAGAAAATAAATACAAAATATGAGATCTTCATCTCCATAAACCTAAACATTCTGAGTGATTGATTTGTAGAAGAAACTATTGTAAAACATGAATATTTTAAGGTAATAACATTGCTTCACCTACTTTACCTTCATCCACGCAAAAATGAAGTTACCATGTAGTTTCGCACTTCAAAACTTTAACCTCTCAAATTTTGTGGTTTATTAGGCAAACTTTTTTACTTTTTTATTCAAGTATTATAGTGAACTAATTCTCAATGGGAAATAACATATTTTCTAAAATAACACTAGAGACACACCCCCAGGCACATCCCCAACCACAATCCCCCCCTGCTACAGTGCAGGGGGCCCCCACCTGAGATTTTTTAAAAAATCTCAGGTGGGGGCCCCCTGCACTGTAGCAGGTGGGGGATTGTGGTTGGGGATGTGCCTGGGGGTGTGCACCTAGTGCTCCTCTATTTTCTATTCCTCAATATGCACCAACATGTAATGCAACATAAAAAAAAAAAAATTTTGGCACCGTATACTTTGAGGGTCAACACCATGACAAGAGAGCAATTGCAACAAGATCATTCCTTTGTCTTTTTCTTACCCTTTTAACTCAAATAAAAATAAAAAATAAAGATGCAATTGTTGGAGGCTACATCCCTTAATAATAACTCGCCTCCATTCTCGTTGTGAAAACACTTGAATTTCATGAAAATCTTGCTTCTTTCTCTCTCTCTTTCATCTTCTTCCACTCAAAAATCATCACTTTGGGTTTTCTCTAGCTCTCATTTTTCTAACCACAAGAAGATTGAATGTAAAAGACCGGTAGGTTTGGCTTTGTGGTTTTTTTCCTCTTTAAAAGGCTCGACAAATTTATCAGTTCTTCCCCAAACGAATCTCTCTCCTTTCAATTCAATTGAGTCCTTATGGAATCTTCTCTCCTGTGAAATTTTTTTGATTTTTTGTTGATTTTCTTCCATTTGGCCATAAATCTCATCTGGGTTTGCATCAAAATCTCATCTTTTCTTTTGTCCAGAAAGTAAACTTAATTTGCATTTTCGCAATTATAGTGAAATTAACGAGAAGCTATGATGAGCTGTTCTTCCATCTTCATAATAAATTCCCATCTGGGTTCCCTTCAAAAATCTTCCTTTTGCTTATAGATTTGGAAAAACTTGTCACAATTGTTCTGAAATCATATAATTTGATTTTCTTTCCTTTAGCGTTTCCCTCCTTCGTAGCCAAAAAATTTACCTTTTTCTTCCCTCCAATTTCAACATCAACTTCCCGTTAAATCTTCTTTATATCTGTCCTAATAAAAAATCCCTTTAGAATCCTTTTTCTAGTCTTCGTACTTTCCCTCATCGCACTCAAAAGGTAAAAAGTAGTTTTCCGTCATTTTGACAGGGCTTTTGGCAAAAGGAAATGCTGACCATCGTTTCTACTTGATGTTTAGATTTTGTCCTTTGACAGAGATCTTCAATGGGCAACTTGGCTTGCATCCCAAAGAAGGAGCTAAAGGGTGGCATTGGCTCGAAGAGCAAGAGGAGTTCGAGAAAGATGGCAGCCGAGGAGGAGTTGATTCATCGCCAAGCTCTGGCAATGGCGATCCAACAGCATCAGCTCTCGCAGAGGTTTGAGGGTTCCATGTCTCGTAGGATCGGGTCCACGAGCTCTCGGAGGCATAATCTTTCTGATAGATTCAGTTCAAAGCAGGTTTGATTGGATTCAAATCACAATTACCTTTTTGTAAATATAATGACTTTTTTTATTACTTTGATCCAAATGAGTTATATCTTTTTATGAGAGTCAATGATGGCCTTATCATGAGTGTCACTTTTGCTTGTATGGTTAGAATAATTCAGTTAGAGACACTTTTCATACACACCCTTTGTCTTAACTAATATATGGGGGAAACTATTTGTCCACTTGATGGCTGTACACCTCTTTAAACTCCCCCCGTGTTTTATTGATTGGAGGGTAGATAATCTTTAGACCAATAGCTGTCTGTCCCATGCATAAGATCCACTAGATGGTTTCCCCTAAGGGGCTATTTGTTTCCATGGAATTCTAAAGATACATGGAAAACACCGGTCCCACACTAGGGATTTTGCAGAGGAACTGTACTGCGGATTGTGATTGTGATTCACTACCATATCACCAAAATCTCATGTCAGAAATCCTTTCTTCTCCGGGGGATTTTTCATGGAAAGTGGAAAGCGGGCCTGCATTCAGCTTTCCATCCAACCAAACAAGAAATAGAAATTTTGAAAAATTTGGGATTTCTGGAGCAAGTTGATTTTTTCAGATTTCAAAAAGTTGATTTTAACTTCCAAAATGTCCCTAACGTAATACTTCCCTCCACTCAATATGAGTGACATGCAGGGGGAGCCATGCTTTCTGTCTTGGTTATGCTTCAATTTGTAGTTTTAGAAGCGTGGACCCAGATTGTAAAGATTAACCTAGAAGTTCTGTGTGTACAGTAAAGCATGTTACTTACTTTTATTGGATCTCCTTTTATTGCTGATCAGAGTATGGTTGAGGCTTTGCCTTGTAATGGCATTGGAATGTGAAACGGATGTATGATTATCTTTAGAAGGATAAACTCAGGATTACGGTGTTTCCAGGTTTTAAGAATTGGTGCTGAAGCCATATTATGTGAATAGTACATAGTACATACTAATATCATCATTTCACTGAGGCCCCTCACTTCTTCAGTCTCAGTTTAGACCTATTGTTTTGTTTCTATAACAAGAACACTAACGTTTGCACAACATATTGTTGGATTAGAGAATAGGTATAAAATTGATATTCTACTTTGGCTTATGCTTCTTTTCGTTGTTTTCTGTACTGGGCGGTGGGAACATGTAAATCTTGTCATTTTTTGATTTTATTTAATTAAATCTACCTAAAGGAAGAACAACTTTGAAGTGCTTAGAGCTTTTTATTTTTTCCTTCAAGACTCCATATAATTGAGACATATACCAAAAAGATAGGAGAAAAAAATTCCATTGTCTTCTTTCATAGTTTCTCTTTGGTTTGTATGGAGCATTTGTCTCTTTCCTTTGTTACTCAGTATGTCAACGCTTTGCCCTTCTCTTGGACAATTTTCCTTAACATCTGAGTTCGAACAATTAATATATTTAGTAATGTAAGCACTACCTTCATGGCTTCATTCTTATGTAGATGGGTTAACAGAGAAAAGGACAAAAAATATATATGGTGAAAAACTTTGTTTGTCTTAACTAAATAATGATCTTGCATGTAAGTAACCAGATGTGCAGTGAGAGATGATACTATTATGTTCATATCTGACACAATTTTAAGACCGATAACTGAATTCAATCTAATGCCTGGACAGAACTTCAGGATATTAATTGTATCTACATTTGATGAATATTATTCAAATTCAGATAGTTGCAACCTTTCTGTGTTCAAGTAGGCGTTTGCCAAGTATCATGAATTTGCTACCGCTATCTGGTTTATCAGACAATAGTTACATTAAGTTTTGGGTTATCTATACTTATGATTAGGCTAAATTACCAAATTGGTATTTAAAATAGACCCTCTTTACCACTAAGGTATTTAAAAAACCTCCGGTGACATTATGGTATTTTATTTCGGCCTTGTTTACCAGACGCTTTCTTGAAATTTCGCAGGGAAGTTTCTTACTCCCCTACCTAACCTCTCAAAATTATTAAATTCACACGCAAAATTGTTCTTTTTTTCATTTTTTTCATTTTTTCCTCCCTCCAGCTCTTTCTTCTGTCAAAAGTTGAATTTTTTTGGTGATTTGTGGTTGCGAGGGTGGGCCCGACGGTAAGTGACATCAAAGATTGACAGATTGCCTTCAGGTCTTTGGACCTGCTTCATTGCTAGGCAGTCTTGAGCATTTGCGATGGGTGCATCTGTATAGCTTCTGCGCAAGTTTAAAGCAATTATCTCTTGTTTGATTTTAATCAAGTTAATTTGTCTTTGTTTTGTCTTATGAGTTAGTGATAAGAATACAAACCTTGGGTGTTTAGCTCCAAGGATCTCTTTCTGTCCATACTTCCTCCAGCTACAGCAATCCTCTAATGGCCCTTCTGCCTCTAGCCCTGATCCCTATTTCACTTGACTCCATTTTTATTGTGTTTTCCTGAATAATGCAAAACGCCCATCAAAAAACTTGAAAGCTACTTCATCTTCTACATAGAAACTATAGTTCAGTTTCGACAGTAAAATGAACATACCACTTCTTGGGTGTCCCATTGGGCTCTGGTTTGAATGGCTTCTTCGAATCCTCGCTGGTGAATGACTGAGGAGAGTCCATAAAAGAACTTGTTTTGGCCATGGACATAGTTTTCTCAGGGCAAACAAATAGCTCCTGCACTAAAAAATTGCACAATTTAGTTGAAGCTGAGGCATCGGGCTTCGTTGCTAGTTCATGGAGATGACCCAATTCATTCACTAACACGCTCATATCTACCTCCATTTTCATGGCATTCTATAGTTTGAGCGATGTTGTATGATTTGGAGGGTGAAAGAAATAATTTGATTTTTGATAGATGAAAGAGTTGGGGAAAAAATGAAAAGAGGATAATTCTGGGCATAGATTAAATAATTTTGGGAGGTAAGGGGGTTGGAAGTAATTTTCCCGCTGGAATTTTGAGAAAAAAGATCTTATCGGTAAACGGAGTTGAAATAAAATACCATAACGTTGCCAGAGGTTTTTTAAATACCTTATTACTATAGAGGGTCTACTTTAAATGCCGATTTGGTAATTTAGCCCTTATGATTACGTGTAGGAAGCATATGGCATGGTTAGTGTGTGTGCGCGTGTGCAAACATACATATGTATGTATGCATCCTGTAAATATTTAGATACAGACTAATACGTAACATGTAGTGATGTATGTTCTGAAGATATTTTTTCTTAGAGTTGACAACATGTTATCCAAATGACGTCCATTCAGAAACTGGTTAAATATCCGATTAAAATCTGCCCACATGCAGGAGACAAATTGACATCAATAGTAATGTCTAGCTGATATCTGAGAATTTATGACTACTTGTCAATATGTAATCCTCTTATTTGCATATACATTGGGTGGTCCACATCCAATAACTTCAACCATATACACTATGTAGGTATTGACCTCCAAAGTATGAATTTATGATTGTATGGATTACAGAAATAGCAAAATTATGCTGATTTCGATATTTACTTTGTACAAGGTTCATACTAAATCAAAATGCTTCTCGTCAACGCAGATAACCATTATATTTGTCAAGCTCTTTGTGTATATGTGATATTGCTACATTTTATATGATGCTGATGATATATATTATTGCAAATATCTCAATTTAATTTCAGAATTCTCAGTCTTCAGAAACTGAAGTGTCAATGAAATACTTTCTGAAATGCATGTACAATCATTTCCATTGTCCTTGTACAATGTTTTATACACATTTAGCTTCTTCCTATTTTGCTAATAGGTAAAATTCTTGCACTAGTATTTCTGCTAATGTGCTGATCTGTTAGCTTCGAGATCTGTTGAATGAAATAACTATAAATATTGTCATTTTAAAATTTTACTTATAGGTCCCTCTAGATCTTGACAATCTTGAAACAAAGAAAATCGTTCTTGTCCATGGAGAGGGATTTGGGGCATGGTGTTGGTATAAAATTATTCCTCTACTGGAGGAAGCAGGACTACTTCCTGTTGCTCTGGATCTTGCTGGCTCTGGAATGGATCACACTGATACAAATAGCATAACAACCCTGGCAGAGTACTCAAAACCCCTTATTAATTTCTTGCAGAGTCTTCCTGATGATGAGAAGGTGAGAAAGATTCTAAATAATAGTTATAACCTTCATTTAAGTTGCGTTTGTATCATTCAATAAGGGGATTTTGCTAATATACCCCTTAAAACATCCGCATTTGCAAAGCTACCTCCAAATCATCAACTTCGGAAAAACAATATCCCCCAACTTAACAAATCATCAACTTTGTTGGATATGGCAGTAAAGCTTTGACTATTTTGTTGATATTTTTACAATGTAGTTACAACTTAGCCTATCAAAGTTGATGATTTGTTGATTTGGGGGTACTTTTTTTTTTCCAAAGTTGATAATTTGGGGGTAGTTTTCAAATACTGAGATTTGGTGGATACTTTGCAAATATGCATCATTTAAGGGGTATATACACAAAAAAACCCTAAATTACAGTATGTTTTATGATGAGATCTTGATTGATGGCTGCGCAGGTTATTTTGGTTGGCCATAGTTGTGGAGGAGCAAGCATATCTTATGCACTTGAGTGTTGCCCGAATAAGGTCTCAAAAGCAGTTTTTGTTAGTGCCACTATGGTATCAAATGGACAGAGACCTTTTGATGTGTTTTCCGAGGATGTAAGTTACATAATGTTCAGCTTTCTTTCACCATCCAGTAAATGCTAAATGATGGTTAAAAATTGCCCCATTTTGATGACGATGATCACATAAGTCAGTTGTGTGAGCGTATGTAATATAAGTTAGGCTTAATTGGACATAGACCCCCCTAGTTTCGCTTTTTTTAAACTTGCTACCCTGTAGTTTGATTGTTGCAGATAGGCCCCCAGGGTTAAACCTTTTTTTTGGCTTTTTTAGCCTCAGATCGACTCACAATGTCACCCATGGGCAATATCTTCCGAATTTTCGCCCAGGGTAAAAGAGACCCAAAAAAAACCCCAGGGGATCTATCTGCAACAATGAAACTACAAGGGTTGTAAGTTAAAACAACAATACTACAGAGGGCTATTGCAATTAACCCTATAATTTACTTTCAGATTAAGTAAAACTGTTTGTGTTCTCTGTGCTTGTTCGTTCTGTAAGATTGAGGCTTCATATTCTTTTGATTTTCTTATGTTCATAAGGTTTGATTGCAGCTAGGACCCGCTGAAGCATTCTTGAAAGAATCACAGTTTGTACTGTATGGTAATGGTGAAGACAGGTCGCCCACTGGCCTCATGTTCGACAAGGAACAAATGAAGGGGCTCTATTTCAACCAGACTACTCCCAAGGTTTGTAAAAAATGCCAATTCTTCTCTTTTCAATTATCTGAGTTTCTTTACTGAGTTCGCACTTAGATTAAAATGGTCCCTATTTGTTCACTTTCCCTTCATAGACAAAGTTACCCAACCTAAAAGTTAACTAAAACTTGCGTTTAAAAGTTAGATGAAGAGTTTTCTCGGACTAAGGTCTGTTAGAGGAGAGAATTTCTCTCCTTCTTACTCTGGCCCAGTCAATCAGGGCACAAGCTCCAGTATTCTATTGGACAAGCTCTATCGAGCCTAGGCCTTCTGCTTCTTGAGCCTATTTCAAGGGATAGTTTCTTTTTATGAATATATGCAGAAATCATATTAAAGTTTAAGTTGTGTGGATATTTTCTAACAATGCAAAATGGTAGTATATTATAAGGTATACATAGAGGTATTAAACGGGTGGGTATGGACGGGTCATAAATGGGTGGGCGCATCTCTGCGCATTTGCCCCTTTACGGCTCATTTAGCATTTGTAAAATGGTTGATGCCTCACCCGCCCATTTATTAAATTGGTGGCCCATATATCGATTTGAATACGAGACTTGTCTGTATGAACACTTGAAAAACTATCGTTGATTGAATTTATATGGTGCAATCCTTTTCGAGTATAATGATTTAAGGGTGTGCACCATATTTATAAATTCAGTTTGAGAATGTTGATGTTCATAATTTCATTCCGCTTAGACTTATACACTGTAGTGTTTTTAACTTTTAGATTCTTGAAATTACAAACAATCCTAAAATATCTGCAATTTACAAATAGCCCTATGAAGAATATGAAAAGTACAAACAAGCCATTGGAGAATTTGAAAATTACAAACAACCCTTGAAGAATATGAAAATTACATACAACCCCTAAAAAAATTTAAAATAACAATCACCCCCCTGAAAGATTCAAAAATTACAAACAACCCCTTATAAGTCCGAAAATTGCAAACATCTCTCTTAAAATCCAAAAATTATAAAAATAGCCATTACAAATTTTAAAATTACAAATAAGTGTATTTGAAATCTAGAATTGAAATTCTAATTATTTTCCATAGAATGGAATTGGAATTGAATTATAAATTTCAGATTTCAGAATTGAAGTCTAGAATTTTAAATCACTTCCTTAAAATTCAAACGCAAGCCTATGTTAGTTCGTTTCCAACTCTACCCAAGAACTCTTTTCGAAATAACAACCACATAAATGGGTAAATGAAAGGGTACAACCCCACCCATTTACGACCCATTTATCTCTTGTTGCACTAAAACCCGTCCATTTAAGGCTCATTTTATTAAATGAGTGGGTATGAACGGGTAAAATAGTCGCGGTTGAACGAACATGGGAAAAGTTTTTCATCCCTAGATAAAAACTATAGCTGAGATTGAGATAGAAATTGTTGCCATATCGAGCACTATTGGGCACTGTTTAAATGTTTTGAACGTTCGTTTGTCAGCAATGTCTGAAGATCTGGCAATATTTACGTTAATTTAGTTTAAATTGTTTGAAGATATACACGTACGTCCTTTTGTGATTCTTGGGTTGGTCCAAACTATATGTGTACTCGGCTTCTTATCTTTTTCCTTTTTTTTGATAATGAAGCCACTAAGAATCGAACCCAAGGTTGTGGGAGTCATATTGGAACATCAAAAAATAAATAAATAAATAAAAGAAACTGTTGCCATTAGCTTAGGATGTAATATTTTTTCATACATAATTTTTCCATATACCTAGGGATGACAATTTTTGTCAATGCATGTTTGTCTGCATTGCCTGCCCAATATCTTTCCCACGCAACCCCATCCATTTAATTAAATGAACTTGAAATAGACTATTTTGATTGTAGTGGGAGATAAATGGAATGTAAATGGGCAGGCTCGAATCTGCTTATATGCCCGTTTAGGTGGATATTATTTCAAAAGGTGCACTCAGATAGAGTTAGAAACGAACTAGCATAAGGTTGTGCTTGGATCCAAAGAAGTTATTTGGAATTCTAGACTTCAAGTCTAGAATCAGGAATTTAGAATTCAATACTAATTCAAGTATTAGAAATAATTAGAATTTCAATTCTAGATTTCTATTCAGATTTATGAGGGGCTGTTTTTATATAATTTTTGAATTTTAAAGGGGGTTTATAAGGGAGTGTTTGCAATCTTCAGAATGATAAGGAGACTTTGTGGTTTTCAATTTTATAAGGGGGTTTGTTTGCAATCTTTTGATCTCTTAGCGGGCTATTTATAATTTTAAATTTTTGAAGGGGCTATTTGTAATTTTCATAGATTCTGTAGAGATGTTTGTAATTTTCAAATACTCCAAGGGGCTATTTGTAATTTTTAAATTCTTAAGGGGCTATTTGTAATTTTCATATTCTTCAGGGGGGATGTTAACAACTTAAACAATCTGAAAATCACAAACACTACAGTATTAAAACCTAAGCGGAAATGGAATTATAAACATTATCTTCCTAAACTAAATTGATAAATAAGGTGCAGATCCTGAAGTCATAAAACTAGAAAAGGATGACACTACAAAAAAGTTAAATCATGGACGGTTTTCTAAGTGTTCATAACAAAGATATTGTATTTAAATCGGTACATGGACCACCCGTTTAATAAATGGGCGGGCAAGTCCTGACCCATTTAACAAATGCTAAATGAGCAATAAGTAGGCAAATGGGCATAAATGTGCCCACCGATTTGTGGCTCGCCCATACCGACCCGTTGAACATCTCTACTTTTATCTCTCATATCATTTAGGTTACTTAATCCATGAGCTTTTATTGAGCCGAGCCTTGAGCTTTCCATTTCCCATTGGGTGAACCTTTGACAGACTTTCTTTTCCGAGTAAAGTTAACCATCCTTAATTAGAAATCTCCAGATTCTTGTGTCTCAGTTTGTAAATGATTTTCCTAGCTATACAGAGCTTTGAAGTTTTATATCCAGTAAAATCAGTTGGTGAAGGTATTGGTTTCTCCTTGGTTCAGATTTGCATCCCCATGAACAAACCTATTACATGGCAAAGAAAATATATTTTTGGAAGGATCACAAGATTCTGTCAGTCTCCTAGAAACCAGAAAAGTGCAAAACCTTTTAATTTTTTTGCTAATCTTTTGCTTAGGGATGGCAATAGGGTCATTTATCATGACTATAAATTCTGGTATAAATTCTGGATTGTTTCGTATATGTCAAATTCATATCCAACATGATATTTAATGGATCAAGTACCTCAATCTATATTCGACCCATTCAATAATCAGGTTTCCTATATACGTTCGAGCCATGTGATCAGATTCGCAACGAGTTGGGTCAAATATAAGCAGTTACTCTTTTTCAAAATCATTGTATTGAAGTAAGGATATTGAAAGCCTAAACACATTTAACAATTGTTTTTATGACCCAAGTAGTTTGTGATTTGTTATTATACAGGTTAATTTTTTATTTTAAGAAAATATTTCAATGTTTAATGCAGGATATTGCTTTAGCTGCGGTATCAATGAGACAAATCCCCCTTGCGCCCATACTGGAGAAATTATCCGTCACCCCTGAAAACTATGGGACAGTCTCCAGGTTCTTCGTGCAAACACTAGATGACCGAATGCTCTCTCCTGACATTCAAGAGAGGCTAGTCCGAGAGAATCCACCTCGAGGAGTGTACAAGATAAAGGGCAGCGCAACGAGTTGGGTCAAATATAAGCAGTTACTCTTTTTCAAAATCATTGTATTGAAGTAAGGATATTGAAAGCCTAAACACATTTAACAATTGTTTTTATGACCCAAGTAGTTTGTGATTTGTTATTATACAGGTTAATTTTTTATTTTAAGAAAATATTTCAATGTTTAATGCAGGATATTGCTTTAGCTGCGGTATCAATGAGACAAATCCCCCTTGCGCCCATACTGGAGAAATTATCCGTCACCCCTGAAAACTATGGGACAGTCTCCAGGTTCTTCGTGCAAACACTAGATGACCGAATGCTCTCTCCTGACATTCAAGAGAGGCTAGTCCGAGAGAATCCACCTCGAGGAGTGTACAAGATAAAGGGCAGCGATCATTGTCCCTTCTTCTCTAAGCCACAGTCCCTGAACAAGATCCTGCTAGAGATTGCAGGTTTCAATACTGCTGGTCTAGCAGAAAATGAGATGATTGATAGGGAGAAAGATGTATAGATGAGACTTAAGGATGTTTTAATTTTGCAAAGAGTTGTGACACATGTAGTGGAACTGTGAGATTCCTGTTTTATTGAAGGCTTACTTTGTAATATGATATGAATCTTCCACATATTTAGAATCATGCGGCAGATAAAGTCAATTCCCAAGACACAATAAGTGCAACTTCACATTATGCAAGTGACGAGCAAAAGTAACTAGCACTTTACGGTGGAGTCTTGTTTACAGAAATACCAGTGCATTTGAGTAATATGCTTGCAAGCACAGTGAAATTCCAGCCAAGCATTGGCATTAATAACAGGGATGAAAACGGCAGAAGTCCCTTGACAACACCTTGTTTTACTTGTAATCTGAGATTATGTACTCTCAATTGGTAGCTTTTTATATGAAAGATAGCAGAATGTCAACTTGAAGCAATAACCACCAAACTGTTTCGACAAACTTAAGAGGCAGGCCACTCCATGCACAATAATGCCACGACAAATAAGAACTCAAAAGTATTTGCATGGGGTTAAAAGTACAAATGACCCCAAGCCAGAAAACAGAAGAACACGAAACAATATGTAATCTGATATTATATATCATAAAAGCATCAGTTAAGGTCACTAATACACAGAAAACACTACATACCCAGCTTGCCTATTTTCCCACAATTTCCATCGTCATCAGTCAGCCGGCTGACCCACAAGCAGCCAGCTCAGCATACCACTGAACACCCAAAAGGAACAACACATCCTTTTATGCAGAAGCCTTTTCGGTTTAGTATAATAAGTCTACATACTATGATCATTAGATCTATTAACAGCAGGAGACAGCAGTAACTGCCATATTCACAACCATTACAAAATAGAAAACTCTAAACTCATCATACACTTAGAGAAGCAAGTGACCACACCCAAACTTGTATACCTCATGGGAGGTTTTCCCATCAAGATTTCCCTGAAGCAGCATTGAGAAATCCAATAACATTCTGTATTTCTCCACAGTACCTTCTGGTTCTGGGTTAAAGAGGAAACATCCTATACCAAGGTAAAAATTTGCGCCCTCACCATTTCTGTATATTTCCATCTTGCTAGATATGTCCTTCTGAACTTGTAAAGAGTTACCAGGTATCTGTTCATCTGCTAGTAGCGAATAATTTACACTGCACTTATTTCACAACTTGGAAGATTTGGAAGGCAAGGACATGGCAGTGCCATATGCTTCTCGAATACCAATCCATCAAGGAGTCATGCTATTGAGGCACCGTATCAACATCAAGGATCCAAAATTGATAAGGGGATGAAGCCCGAACCAAAATTTTTATCACTGTTCTGGTAAAATGCTGCAATAAGTAATAGTTCAGGTGGTTAGGAGGATCCAAGAGCCATCAAAGAAACTACAAAAGAAAACAACAAACAAAGTATCTAATAATCTGAATATGAAAAGGTGAAAGGTTCTGTTTTTTAGCAAAAAGGAAAAGAAGACTAACAATGCTAAACAAGACTAATTTGAAAAGAAGATGTGGAAAATAAAATCTTCTAATAAGAACATTAAAAAAGTGAACGGGTTAAAAAAAACAAAAGAAAGCAAGTCTAGCAATATTAAACAAGACTGATACTTCAAAAAGCAACTGAGAAAAAGGAAATAAAATCTGACCAACTTTTACAAGTGAGACTATTTGCAGCACTAGAAAATTCAAAAGGAAAAACAGTGGAACCATAGAATGTGAAGCTGTATGTTCACTGAAGAATAAATAAAGATTAAGCAAAATGGAACTTAAATTGCAAGAGAATGCAAAATATTTGGAACTTAACTTATATATGGTGATAATAGCAAGATCCAATACCATAGGACATAGGGATGTTTAATGTCCTGAGGGTTAAATTATTTCTTACCGGTGGCGTCAAAAAACTAGAAAGTAATTTAAGCTCTGCCTTTTTCCCTTCATGAAAATAGCAAAAAATAAATGCTGTCCTGGTTTATATAGGAAGGATGCGACTCGCAGTTATTAAGCTTACCATCCACAACTAAAGAACTACGAACCAGAACCTGACTTTTGAACCCATACTTGTTTCTGCATAAGCAGCACAAAATTAAATTAACCTTAGATGTAGAAAGTCTTTTAAACAAAAAATAAAGACTAGCCAAAGTGTTAATTTAGAAGGAATATTGTCAGGGAGAACTTACCTCATGGGAACCATAACCTGCAGAAATCCCTCTCTTGCACGGCTTTCCCTCAGAAAAATTAACAGAGCCATCCATATCCTTCATACCATGTCCTGATCCACGACGCCCAATATGCCTATATAAACCTACAAAAATAAGAAATATAAACAAGTCAATGACCACCTTGTGAAAATGTTGAACAGAAAAAGTAGCTTAAAATTTCTAATTGAGAATATTTAATCCACAGAATGAAAAATTCCCACCATTCTCTGCCCTTCTATTTGAATTTTGCAGATCCAGTTTCATCTCTCCGTGAGTCATTGAATCGTCATATGCAGCCATAGAATTACTGACACACGCTCTTTGAGCAGTTTGAATATCCATGTCTTCATCCCTGTTTTTATGTCCAAGTGTTTGTTGAGAGATTCCTTCCAGGGCATCTGATAACTGCTGTGCAGAAAAAGAATTGTCATTGTTAACGTGGACTCCATCAGAATGACGAGGGGTCCAAACACCACGATCAGGCCTGTCTTTGTTTCTCACACGCCTATCATTCTTGTCAACTATAGATACTGAACCATGTAGATTACTCATAGCAGATTTATCATCTATCATTCTCTTTCCATCAACATCAGGGGAAGACAACTGTTTTGCACTACCTATAACATGATCCTTAAAATTTAAACGAGGATTAGGAGGACGAGGGGGACGCTTCTCTCTCTCAGAGTTCACTGCCTGTGTTTGCTGCTCAGACTGACTTCCCACATATGATCGACTCTGATGCGTACCTTTGTTGGAAAGTATGCTTCGAATAATTCTTCCGCTGGCCTCCTGCCGTTGGCTCTGTTTAGAAGAAATTGAGCCATTTAAGTTTCTTACCAAAGCTGTTGCACTCTGCTGCTGTGATGAACTACCAGAAACCTGTTTTAAGATTTCAGCATTCTGGTGATGTGAGGTGGAAAATAAACTGACATCAAACTTTACAGGCAATGTAATTATAATCTTACATGAGAAGCTTCTCTTTCTTTTCCTTTAAGAAGCACAACTCGCCTTTTCCCAATTTCAACACTTCCAGATACAATGGGTGTGGACTCATTCGAGTCCATAGCTGATAATTGGGGCAAAAACGTAAAATTAGGAACTTTACTACAGGGGAAATACCATATCGCTCTTCCAAACATGTAACAAAAAATATGACAAACATAATATGTTTTCCTAGAATCACCTACACATCAATCACATAAAAGACATCTAAAATGCTGTATAGAACTACCAGGGGGTTTATCTGAGACATTTTCGAGTTTGGGGGTTAAGCGGGAAAGTTTTGCTGTAGAATGGGAAAAACAAAGTATTCAGGGGTTTCGTGGGAAGCGACCCAGAGTATTTGGGGTTTTGTGAAATTTAATCTTTATAAAACTACACAATCCTTTCTTTCTCCTCTATCAAACTAACTGTAAAACGATATCTTGAGATGTATTTTGGTGACGGCCATTCGTTATAAACTTCTTGCTTACAAGAAAATATAGCCCCTTCATTCTATGTGCGTGAGAGAAAAAGTTATTTTAAATTTTGCAATGTTAATCATTTGAAACTAGTGTTTATTTGAATTACAAAAAAAGTTCAACCCTTTTTCCTCAACTTACCTAAATGAATGGTAATTCTTCTTTATTCTACATCTTTCATTGCTCATACAAATGCTAAAATTATTTTGTTACCTTGCATGGAATTACATTTTTTTTAGAGAATCAATTACTTATCCTTTAGTTGTTACTGCTTTTTAGGCTTTTGTCAAAAAAGCTTCCCGATTGATTTAAGAAGCAGTGGGACAAACCAGCATAAACAGGAAAATTCACGGCGAGTGATACATTGAGTAGGTTAAAGCAGGGGTAAAACCAGATGAAAGATTTTGGGTAAATCATCCTACATCTAATATAGTTTAGAATAAAGAGTTTGACAAGTGAGACATCAGTAGAAAATGATGATTTTTATAAGATATGGAAATATTACAGACAATTTAGGAAGGGGTAAAATATACTTGAGCAAAAAGAGGGTGATGGACACCTTTTCCCTTAACAATATCATACTACGGCTAGTGAAGTCGAGTATGCTCAAATAAATTCACAAAATTGAACTGATGCAATAATAATACATCACAAATCCTGCTATGTGGATCAAATACTAATGCATAGCTTCTTTGATGCAAAACAATTTTCATGATATTAGCAGCAACTTGTTGTAGCATCTTGTCTAAGTGAAATCATAAGAATAACCACACCAGAACTTCTGATAGATGACGCTGCAACAAAGAGGATTTTTTTTAAAGGTAAGTTCAGAGTCTTTTGACAGATTGAATGATATGTGAAACCATATTCATTTAAAATTAAAAAAAAAGACACCTGAATATTTGAAACCGTCTTCTACAACTTGATTGTGACATGTCTCATCATTTTTGAAGATATATAATTTTGTAAAGACTATGTTTTCTCATTAATGAAAGATATTATGATACTTGTGATTGAGAGTCAAGAAAATGTTCCAAGTTTCATTCTTATCTCTTAGATCTTGTAAGAAAGCATAGTCATCATTTTTTGCATGCTTCAAAATTATTATTGGACAAAAATATTAACAAGTTCATCCAAAAAACATTAATATGAGGAGCTCCATCTTCGATTCCAAAGGATTTGATGCTTCTTCTGAAATTTTGACAGATAAACTCACGAAAAGGTTATGTCTAAATGAAATTCCTCAAGTGTCTGCGAATTTAGCACAAGTTGATAATCCTATGTTAACAAATGTCTATAATGATTCCGTAGTAGCAACTAGCAAGTGATACTAGTGTTTCCCAACTAGGGTTTATTGCAAGTACACATATATTGAAGTTGAAGACATTTCTCTCATGGTACATTATCATATAGATTTTATGATTTCTCCACAAATCAAGCTAGTAGCATGTTTTGTATTCATGTTAGCCTTCTCACCGCTATAGTGAATTCACAAATCATTGCTAGTTCTTATGTCCTCATCATTCTTTCCGAAACTCATCATCAAGTTTTCTCCAACCACGAAAAGTTTGATACAGATAACTTTTAAAGTTTTATAAAGAAGTGGGAGAGTTGGAAATAAAGCAAATCAATCTAAGAGCCATCTTATTGAAGAGGCCCTAGTTTGATAAGGATTAATTTTTTTTTAAATTTCAGTTATTAAGAATTCCTATTTTAGTTAGGATTGGGTTAGAATAGGAAAAGTTTGCTTTATTTTGAATTTTAGTTCAGTTCACACTTGCGTCCGACTTCCATGTAAATTTCGATATTTCGAGTCTATAGATACATATCATTGTATTTCTTCAGATAGAGGTACAATTTGAATTTTTATAAATATTGAAATTGAATGTGAATTGCTTCCTAAGATATTAAACCAACCCAAAATTTCAACCAAATTAAGTTCCTTCCTAGAAAGCTCTTGTTGTTGTTACCTCTTTTTCCTGCCACCTTTTCCTACTCAAAACTTTGTATCAATACCCCAAAATCTAAACTTTGTCAGGTATTACTATATTGTTGATGCTGATTAGACATTTGACAGATTTTCTAGCATATTAATCAGAGAATGAAAGCAATCAACTCCAGGGAACTTGCAAGTTTCAACTATGTGATAGTTTCTTATTTACAGGTATAAATTCACATTATCTTCTTTGATTCGAAGTTTATTCCTCAACTAAATATCACGATGTGCTTAGTTATTCCGTAGTTAAATAGAAATTTAATCTAAAATCTCTTTATATGCCTTGCATAGTGTTGGAGATTTGATTTTCATTACTTTTCTTATTATTTTAATTAGAATTTATTAGAAGATAGAAGAAGAAATTAAGAGAGAAGTGGATGACATATTGATACCCTCTTCTGATACTTCTCTTCTGCAAGCTTGTCCCTCTTTCCTTGACACTAGCGTATATCCCGCCTTGTCCTTCACATTACTATTAGTCTTCCCGTTATCCCTTAAAACATACTGCAGATTAGACAAAGAAAATTCAGTATCACAAAAAAAATTATATTCAACTATCCAAATACAAGGTGTTTCCACATAAATACCATTGAAGTGAGGCCTCTTCTCTTCTCAGCACCTCGCTTGGAAGAAATGGAGCTGCTACTCAGAGCTCCTCCAGCTCTTCTACTAAGTTTTCCACTGGATGATGATCTCTGTGGCAGATAGTCGGATAGAAACCACGACAATCAGCAACAATCAAGGAAAGAGAAAAATGTATATCTTGGAATTATAAAACGACTTAGCGAGGACTACATTGATTCAAACAGAATTAATTAAGCCATGAAACAAAACTATTGGAAGTGTTTCTAATAAAAACAAATTTTTACTCAACTTCCTTTGTAGAGAGCACGATGAATGATCAAATGAACAAAGAAGACTAACAAAAAAGAACTATAAAGGCTTCGAATATGAAGGAACTGGATTAGTTGATTGAAAATATCTATATCTACCATGTCATATGCCTCAATAATCAGGTTGTTCACCACAAACAATTACAAATTAGCAAAGGAACGTCTCCTAGGGGTGAACAAATGGCCGGTTCGGTCTGTTTTCATCAAGTTTAAGTAAACCGAAAGCGAACCGGACCATTTATTGAACCGACTTGACCCAAACCAAAATAAGTTGGTTCGGTTCGGTCGGTTCTTGTGGTTGTTACAAATCTCCGC